TTCCACCATTTCTTTGATATTAGAGTAACTCTTGTCCTGTAATAACTTGTCCTGCAAGTTGGCCATGGCCAGTTGGCTGCAGCAAATTGTCATACACTCTAAGTAAGGTGGTAGGAAATGCTTAAGTCTAGTAACCTTTATTCAGTCAATGACCAGCACGAAGTAAATAGATGGACAAATAGAAAGTACAAAGCTATAATCCCAGAACAAACACAGCTCAAGTGGAAAAACGAAGGAGGATTATAGGATATTATCACACTAAGAATGTAACATTGACACCAGAGTTATTCTGAAGAATGTAATATTTTTAGCATTAAGCTATCCTCTAGAATACAATAGATATAAAACCAGCACAAACTAATTTAAAAAACTATATCAGATAATGGCTGGCTGATCACATATCAAATATTTTAGAATAATAACTCCTTTTGTGGTTAGCTTACTGTGACCACTTCTCTTGGAAAAAATAAAGGACAAACCTGAAAAAAGTCAAATCTGAAAGAGTTCGTAAGAATAAAAAATCTTAATTGTTTATAGGTTTGCTTTACAAAAGTAAATTCAAGAGCAAAGCCAAAAAAAAGTTACAAAAATGCATATTCTGATAAAATGTGGTACCTGATGTAAAATAGAACATATAAATTTATTTATTTTTTTAAAAAGATTCAAATTCTCTATTCTTCACATGAATGTGAAAGACTGTGTTTTGTGGTACCATTTGTACAACAAAAGTTAAATGATCAAAATACAAATGGTTCTCTACTTACAACAGTTCATTCAGTGAGTGAATTTGCAATGGCATTGAAAAAAGTGACTTATAGCAATAGCACTTAGACTTATATACCACTTCACAGTGCTTTACAGCCCTCTCAAAGTGGTTTACAGAATCAGCATTATTGCCCCCAACGATTTAGGTCCTCATTTTACCCACCTCGGAAGGATGGAAAGCTGAGTCAACCTTGGCCCTGGTGAAATTCGAACTGCCAATTTACAGGCAGCCGGCAGTCAGCAGAAGTAGCTGACTTTTTTACACTTATGTCCATTGAAGCATCCCCATAGTCACATGATCAAAATTCAGATGCTTGGCAAGTGGTTCCTATTGATGACAGTTGCAGTATTCCAAGATCATGTGATCACCTTTTGTAACTTTCTGACAAGGAAAGAATGGGGAAGCCAAATTCATTTAACAACCGTGTTACTAACTGAACAACTGAAGAGATTCGCTTAACAACTGTGACAAGAAAGGTCATCAATCAGGCAAAATTCACTTAACAACTGTCTCACTTAGCAACTTTGGCTCAATTATGGTCGTAAATTGAGGACAAAATGAGGTTTCAAAGCACAGATAAATCCGAATCCACAGCTCTCCTTCATATTAAAGAATGTATGGTCACTGTAAGCTAGTAAGACAGTTCCTCCATTTTGGCAGCCCTATAGAACACAACACAATGCAACAGAAGTGGGAGACTCTGGAATAACTAAAATGTCATTTATCAATTGAACTTTTTGCCACAGATACCAACGGACCTTTAGCATCACTGTTTTAAACCAGAGAGAGGGTTCTACTGACATCTCCCCATAGGTCCCACATCTGAATGGTGACATTTACCCCTACAGTAGCTTCCAGGTCTGAGTAAGAGAGCAAGGAAGACAATATGGAATCATCTCACTATGTAATGTACTTATACATCAACGGTCTATATCATGGGTGTCAAATTCAAGGATCGGGGCTGGATCTGGCCTGCGATGTGATTGGATCCTGCCCGTGAGGCCGGCCTGATCTACCCATGTGGCTTCATCCCGGTCTACCCAGGGGTGGGATGCTACCAGTTCTTCCTGGCTCTGTAGAACCGGTAGCTCTGAAGAGCAGCAGACACAGAAATGGTTCTGTGTCTGCTGCTGTTTGGCCCACCCACCCACCTGGGCTCTTACCTGACTTTTATTTCCTGCTTTTTCAACTGCAGTTGCTTTGCGCGGCACAGCTGAGGTTGAAAAAGCAAGGGAAAAGCGGCTTTTCAAATGCTGCAGACCTGTGTGCAGCGCTTATCAGCTGTCCAGGCAGCACAGCTTAAGTTGTAGTACACGTGTACAAAATGTAATCACTGAACCGGTTGTAACACCAGTTGAATCCCACTCCTGAGTCTACCCAATGCTATCAGGCCAGCATAGCTTTGGCCTGGTCTACCCAATGCAAAGAGGAAACATGCCAGCAGTTTGGGGAGTGGCGTAAAGCTGGTCATGCCCACCCAATTGGCCACGCCCAATGAGTGGCATCAAGCTGGTCATGCCCACCCAGTTGTCCATGCCTGCCCAGTCCCCCGAGGTCAACCATAGCCCTGGTGTGGCCCTCAATGAAATTGAGTTTGACAATCCCGATCTATATATTAATTCTATATGAAAAGTCAACCAGTGTTTGTAGCAATATAGAGAGGTCATTTCTGCAGGAAAAGTATCTCAACTCAGTCAGTATTTCCTGCACATTGATGATCTGTATGCATGATGAAATGCAGAAAGGAGGTAGATTCCCACGCAAGATTATAAGTATAAGTATGAAGTAATAAATAACTCAATTTGGAAGAAAAGGCATATGTCGCACTTGGTTTGGTGCCTGAGATCAGTCTTGCAGACTGAAGGTTCTACTATCTGCATCTACAATAGTCTATGAATTGTTAGGGAGGGTCTGTCTTCACCTTCTTTCTCTCACACATAATACTTTGATAGAATGCATCCTCTACTCTCCTGGGAATCCATGTCCACAGGATTCTGATCAGTCTTCTAAAGAAGATTAGGGATGTGTCTACTTATTCATTCAGGATAAGAATATCAGAACAGCTGGTTTAAATTGCTAAACGTTGCACAGAATTTAGATAAACGTGCTAATCTCTTAGAAAGTTTTAACCACAGCTTGTTTTTTTATGACTTAGCCCATTGCAATGTCCAGCCTGTTTAGTTAGTACATGATTCAATGTACTGTATAAACCTAGAAAATAAGCTAATTCAAGTTAATAGGTTAATGGTATATTGTATCTGATATAGCTCTCTGTAGACTCTACTAGTTAAGAAAGAAAGTGCAAATTAAGGTAAAGTCTACAACTTTAACAACACTGAAAGAATGAGAGGAATAATCAACCTCCATTCTCATTTCTAGTTCCATTTTTTAAAAAAAAATTCTTAATAGAAGAACAATTTTGAAGCAGCGGATGGAAAGGGTCTTTGAAACAAATATAGAATATTTTTCCCTTCTGTTTTCTGAAAAAAAATTAAGTGCACAATCCAAAGATGATCATATTAATCTAATGTTGCATCATTGTTACAATGTTTGATTTTAATTAGTAAACAAGCAAACTCTCTTAGGTCTTAATGTTGGAACAACACTTTCAAATTTCACAGAATACAGAATGTATTATGGTGCTTGACTGGCATTTAACATGGTTATAATTGTTTTTTAATGCAATGTCTGTGTAATTATATTCTACAGCGCTCTTCTCTAATTCGCCTCAAATTTCTACATCTTATGCATAAAGTAAAATTTACTGACACACTTTTCAAACATATAAATAATGAATCAAAAATTATTTGAGGTGTTATAAGCTTATGAAGTAGTGAATCTATGCATTCATCTACCTTGGATAGTAAACTACCATTAATTAATTGTGGTATTATGTAGCATTATATCCCACTTCAAACTTTAGTTTAGTGATGGTTAAAAAACTACAAACAAGCAATCTTATTAATATAAGCCAGGATTTTCTTACTAGATGCAATTCATGATAAAAAGGAATTAAGGAAGAGTGTTTTCTTCCCAAAGTTATTCCCAGCTTCATAAACCAAACAATCACCTAAACCCTATCAATACAAATGGAAAAATCACGAATTTTCTTTCAGTTCAACTCAAATGTTGACAGGTTCCATTTTTAACATTTGTGAAATTAAAAGTAAAATAGCAAAAGCTATGAGTGTTTCCAAAACTATTGATTGAAGAAATAAAACTGAATTACATCATTTTGTTTTTCACTGAATAGATTTGCAAAGCAAAGGAAAAAAAATGATCACAAAATAGCAAATTATGTCAATAGCTCGTCAAATGATCCTTGTCAAAGGTATGATTGTATTGGTGATAGTTGAAGAATGTGATATTGCCATAAAGTTTTAATTGAATGCTCAGGTTTCTAACTGATTGTCAGAATACTTTGTTTTGGTAAACAATTAGGACTGCAAAGCTAAACAAAATGGAAAATACAAGGGAAAACAAATTCAGAATCTTCACTATAATGCCTCAGAAAAAAAAAAACGCACCTAATCTGAAAACATTTGTCAATTGATGATAGTCCAATATATCTCCATCTGCGATATCCAATACAAAACTGTGTATTACTAGAAATATAAAACCAATATGAGGTGTGAAGTACACTTTCGGTAAAATGATATGAAATAATAAACCTGGTAAACAAAATAATTACTTTGCAATCCATACTTTGTCTTCTGCCAGAAGAAAGTAACTATAATTCTATCTCTTTGGAAACAGCATTCAGTCTTTTAATCAGATACCCAGGAGGGGAAAAAAGAGAATAATTTTATACAGCAACTACAAAAATCGTCTCTGTTGCATTCAAGGGAATCAAGGCTATAAAAGCTTCAGCTCATTAAACTCTCTACTAAGTCACTGTCTCTACATGTGAAAAACACACATTACCACTGAACTCCACTTCTTTATCGGATGATTACATGCAAACAACTCTCCAATACCCTATGCATTAATGCTTCAGAAGGTGAAAGGAAATTTTGTTTAATTCTCTTGTTTTTAAAATATTTGTCCTATTTCACTGGTTTCCAACCCTATTAATTATGAACAATTTCTTCTTTCTGTACCACCACCATCAACAGCAACAACCTAATTCTCTTTTAAGATGGTGATGTTCCTCCCTATGGTTTTGAACAGTTTAGTTTTTGTTTTGTTTTGTTTTTCCAACCCAGGATTCATTTGTGTCCACTTTTATACATACCTCCTTTTCTACAAATTTTCTTGCCGGGTTTTCTGGCACATTCCTTGGATATTCTTTTGACTGAAAAATGAATAGAAGACTAGAAAATAACATGGAGCTCCAATGATAGACAGTAGGAGCATGCAATACCATTAGCTTCGATATGGGCTGCTTATTATATGTATCGTTTGAGTGCAGAAGAATCTCCTTCTTGCCTATCCATGCAATGGATCAAGATGTTGATGCATCTTTCTCAGGAGTCAATGGGAATGAGAATTAGGTACCAACGTTGACCTAAGGATAAACGTGCTGAAAAGGAGTCTAGACTAAGAGAAGAATAAGGATAGCACTGGCTAAGTACTGATGCATACATAGAAAAGCCACATGCACACAGGTTAAAAAAAAAAAAAACAAGGGAAAGAAATTGGCATGCAGACAGAAAAAGGCGTGCTGGCTACCAATACACATGGTTTCATCGTTTAAAGAAATATCAAACAGAAAAGTAAACAAAAGTTTCCCCTGCTCCTTAAGTAAATAACTCACCATCTTCAGTTGGGACATATATATTCAAATAGAGGCAGTCTTCATTCTGATCCTGTACGAAAGTAGAAACTATATCCAAGTTATTCGTAAACCAAACAGGAAGCATGACTTCTGGTAATCTTCCCTCGATGATGTTTTGAGGACATACTGGTGCAAATTGTGTTGCATTTTTTATGTCTGGCCATGGAATAGGTGGCTCAGGCGGTTGAAATCGGTGTTCTCCAATAGGTGGGGCAGCATAAGGAACTCCAAGAAACTCGATCACTGGCCCCAAAATTTCATTGTTCAATTCCTTCTTCACCCCCCTCAGCTTTCCAAAATTGGTGGTCACCACAGGGTCAATATCATCCAACTTTTGGGATGACACAGCGGCCGTGTGAATCAAGAATCCAAGTACACAAAAAGTAAATGTGACATCCAATCCCATGTGCAACAAGCGAGCTTGTGTTGCCCTCCACACACAGTTCAGCCATACAGATATTAGGAAAGCCATGGTCCCACATGAGTTGTACATCTATGGTTAAAACAAGGTGATTTGTATCCAGCAAGGCAGAAAGGAGGTTTTCCCACTCCCACGGAAACCAGAAAAATCAAAAATCAAATAAGTCTGAGAATACCCAAAAGGCTCTTTGTATGATATCTTCCAGTGATTTCATTCTTGCTGATACAGCATCTTCTGAGTCCTGTTTATCAGGCTACATTCGATTGACAATTCAGTTTTCCACTGTAGCAAGATGAAGAGAGCATCCATTTAATACAGATTCCCCACTTATAAATCAATTCCAGTTAACTTCAGGTCTATAGCCTGGAGAAAATGAAAAATAAATCATTAGTATGAAAGAATTAATATAGGCAGAATAATAACTACATGTTTTACAAGTTACTGTGCGTATATTAATAGTTGCCAGAGACATGTAAAAAAAAATACACAAGTAATTTATAGTTTCCCAAGATGACAGGTAAAATACTGATTAACCGGATATTTATATCATTTGCTGAATTTTTGCATTTAATTTCACTTTTCTAAAACTGGACACATGGATTTAAGGGCTGGAATAAATGTGCCTACAGTTTGTAATGCCACATTCTTTAACTAACAAAGAGGCTTGCAATCAATTTCAAGCTGATTAATATTAGGCAATTTGGAACCACAAATCAATTATAATTTTATACAACTCTGAGAGAGGCAGTAAACACTAAGATGGTATGAAACTTCTACAGAGAACCTCAGTTTTTCCAATACACTAGTTCTGAAGTAACTTCTGAAAATATGGTTTGATCCGAAAAGCCTAATTCTTTCTTCTGAGGCCCCTTCAGTCATCCTCACATATGAAAACATATTATTTCCTTATGAAATCATCCTGCATTGTTGAATAACTTAAAGAAAAACTGACAACCAGATTTCTGAATCGTGGTTTAGTTCTGAAAAAGTTTTTGACTTGCAATACATTAAAAATAGCAACAAAAATCACTTAGAATAGATAGCAAATGCCTCATCACCTTGTGTAGCAAGGAAGAATTACAGTGCAGGTAGTCCTTGACTTATGAGCACAATTTCTGTTGTCAAGTGAGACATTTGTTAACTGAGTTCTGCCCTGGTTGTTAAGTGAATCACTGCAGTTGATAGGCTAGTAACACGGTTATTAAGTGAATCTGGCTTCCCCATTGACTTTGCTGGTCAGAAGGTCACAAAAGGGAAGCACATGACCTCGGGACACTGCAACTGTCATAACTATGAGTCAGATGCCAAAGTGTCTGAATTTTGATCACGTGTCCATGGAGATGCTGGAACGGTCATAAGTGTGAAAAACGGTCATATGTCATTTTTTCCAGTGCTGTTGTAACTTTGAACAGTCACTAAATGAATTGTTGTAAGTCAAGGACTTCCTGTACATGTTTTTAAGTATTTGGAAGGATAACCCATCCTTCACATAACAAGCTAACTCATCAAAATTAAAGCAACAATAGCTCTCAATCAACAGGAACGATAACAGATTAATTAGACCCAAAACAAATTAAACTCCAAAAAATACAGATACTATCTCTTGGCAGTCAATGACTGATGAATACATCCAGCTCTTAAATAAATCTGAGGCATTTCTTACAGGAATATATTGTCCATTCATGTCCCCATAAAGACATGTGTCTAATATGTCACTATATTGAGCAGTGTTGGCGAACCTTTGCAGCGCTGAGTGCCGAAATGGGAGCGTGTGTGCGTGGGAGTGCTGGAAACTGAAAGAGCAGCTCCCCGGCGCTTGTGCATGCCAGGAACCCGAGCTTCTTCTTTCCGGTGCATGCATGCACACTGGCCACCTGGTCTCCCAGTTTCCAGCATGCATGCGCTCAAGGAGGCCAGCCTCTCAGCGTGCATGCGCACGCTGGAAATCAGAAACTCAGCTTCCCGACGCGCATGTGCTCCAGTTTCTGGCACTCCCACGCATGCAAAGACCAGCTGGCAACGGGCGATGGCTGGTGTGCCCGGAGAAATGGTTCTGTGTGCCACTTCTGGCACATATGCCAAAGGTTCACCATCACAGATATAGTGGGAACTATAGGGAAAAACAAGTGTTCTTTAAATCTCAGAATGTTCTTAGACCAAAACAATGAGAAGTGTTTCTATATCTCCCTGGATCCTTCGCTTACCAGTATCTTGAATTTGGCTGGAAACAAATAGGTGATCATTACAGCTGTTTCAACCCTGATGTTCTCAGATCTCTGTGACCTATTTCTGGAAGTTGTATTTTCAAGGACAGTGTAACATAAAGCACATTACAGTTCTATTCACCACATACAGAAAACATATAGCCTGTAGTATGGACCTTAGAATTCAACATGAGTTCCTAAACTCAGAAGATACTCAGAATCACCTCGGTGCCTCATTTTGTGTTAGACTTTTCTCCTGAGTCAAAGCCTTTTATTTGATTTTACTTTCTTCCTCTTTAAATGAAGCTGGAAATGAGCAGTTATTCAGATCAGTACATAATGCTTTCAATGACAAAAGTGCCTTCTGTGACATAAGCTACATAGCCAAATTAAGCTATGAAGATGAGAACAGCCTTTATTCATTCATTCATCAAATTATATGGCTGCCCAAGGCTGGAATGCAACAATAAGTAAATCAATAAATATATTAAAAACACTCATTATTAAAAATATAAAACTAATTATTATTAAAATATAAAACGAAATGTAAAGGAGAGAGTAAACATCTACTGCATTCATGAAGCCACTGTAGAATATTACTGGGGCCACTGAAGATCTACTGAAAGAATTCTGGGATTGAGGAACCAAGGAACCCAAATGCAAATCTGGTGTAAGATAACAGTCCCACGTTCCCCAAGAGTGGTCTCTTCTTTGTCTCCCACCAGATCTTGCCATGCCCATTAACAGTATTACTACAGCCCAGGAGTTGCCAACCTTTTGGATTTCAGGGACCACCAAACTCATAATTTTAAATCCCGTGGACCAGAGACCCTGGGAAAATCCCAACAAAAGTCTGCAGGAAAATTCCCCACCCTGTTTTCCTACTGATTGATCATTCTTTATTTGGGATTGCAGGATATTGTCTCCAGCTCCGTTCTCAGGGGGAGGGAGGGAGAGAGAGAGAGAGAGAGAGAGAGAGAGAGAGACTTTTGGCTTCATGCAAGGAAAGCAGCAGAAGCAGCAGTCCAATCCACTCCAATCTGTCTGTCTGTCTGTCTCACCACTCACACCTTCAAAGCAGTGGTGGGATTCAAATTTTCTTACTGCCGGTTCTGTGGGCATGGCTTGGTGGGTCTGGCAGGGGAAGGATACTGTAAAATCTCCAGTCAGAGGTGGTATTTGCCGGTTCTCCAAACTACTCAAAATTTCCGCTAATGGTTCTCTAGAACTGGTCCGAACCTGCTGAATATCACCTCTGCTTCAAAGCTCCAGAAGAGTAGATGAAAGAGACCACTCAATAAAACAAATGACCAGAAGCAGAAGCCCCAGCATCCAGAAAGCATCAGTAGCAGCAAAAAAGCAGCAGCAGTCACCAGAGGCAGTCAGCACAGCAGTGTTCAGTGCAGCCAAATTGCTCTCCAGAACAACATTCCAAATGCTGAGACCAGGTCCAGAAAACTGCTGCCAAGTCCATAACAAGGACAGTGCAGCCAGCCAAGGATGGTGTAGCAGGTGTGGCTCACAAAATGCCATAGATCAACAGGAATGGCGTTCTTCCAGGATGGTGCACTCTAATCTCCAATAGTCCACTCTACCCAGGTAAATGCCTCCAAAAACATCTTCAAACACACCACACAAACAATCAGGAGGACATCCCGAGTGTAGTTCCCTCTTTCTCTGCCATTTTCCTAAAGAGGTCAAAGCCAAAAAGAGACTTTTAAAAACTTTCCGTCTTCCTGATTCCTAAATCCTTATATGTGAGATAATTATGCAGATAACAATTTTAAGAAGAAGGATTGGAGATATTTGATTGCCAGGTCAAGTGTAATGTTCTTATGATTATTAGACTTCTTTCCTTCCTTCCAACTAAAGCCCATCAAAACATCCTAAGTATACCAAAAGACTCAAAAGCCCCAGAAGATCAAAAACAGGAATCATCTACAACATACAGAGTAAGGGATGCAAAAGAGCTATTACATAGAAAAACTAAGCAGAAGACGGACAACAGAATGAAACCATGGTCACCAAGTAGCAGTCAGAAGACACGATGAAAACTTTTTTAATTTCATATCATATGGACAGACTCAATCATAGTTTCAGTTTGGATTCTGTGACCATCCTAGATGAAGCCAAGACCAAAAACCTAGGGGATTTCTAGAAGCCACTTTGGCATATGAGCTATCAATAGAAACATAGACACAAGCAATATCTACCTACTATGCAAAAGAGATAGCCAACAAGCTAGAAAGGGAACAAAGACCAAAAACTCCTCCCCACCAGCAATCAGCACCCAGATGAGCATAGATTAACTCCAACATTAACATCAGACCAACGATCAAGTAACAATACTCCAATCAAGGTATTGCCAAACAAGCCAACAGTAAACAGTCAACCAAAGAACTTTTAACAAAGAACTAACTTCCACTCCTACCAACAGGGCAAGCCACTATTAGAATAAGGGTCCCCAATCCGCAGGAACCAGGCTGTACAAATGGTAGGCAAGCAACACAAGTAGCAGGTGATTGTGAAGGTACAACCAGTTGCACTTGACAAAAATAGAAAAAGAGCAAGCTTCTAAACAACTCTTCCTCCAAAGTCATCTCAGCAGTTCCTGTCCTGTTTTAAATAATGAAATAGACTTTTGGCTCAGATCAAACCTACTTTTGAAACAGGAGCCTAATAGAATATAAAACATCACAGAAAAATCCTAGCTACAAAGAAGAGGGAGTCAAGCTATTCTCCAAAGATATTCATGAGCAGAACAATTTCCTTCCAGAAGTTGTGAATGCTCCATCACTGGAAATTTTGAAGAAGAGATGGGAGAGGACAATCATTTGTCTGAAATCA